TAAACATAACAACAATTTCAAAACTTGACAATAATTACTTCTATTTCGAGCTAAAAAAACATAACATACATATTTTGGAATCTCAAAATGTTTTTATCTTTTTCGGGAATCTTCCATTAAATTTTTCGAATTAGTGGTGTTGAAAAATATGCATATTTAAAGCGGAGATAATAAGCAACAGACACACATAATGGACATATCAAATTAAGAAATAACATAAACTCATAAAGTCAAGTAGTCAACATATGAATAGGATTTACATGGAGTAAGTCAAGATATCAATCTTGTTTACAAGGAGTATAAATGCTAAGATAAGTCCTTAATCTAGAAGTACTCTAACAACTGTACATAACGTTGAAAAATTAAATTAAAAGAAGTTAAAGTACTCCATCACTCTACGAATGAAATGATAACCTTTTGGGTTGAATCTGTTGAATTATAAAAGTTTTGTTCTAAAATTAATTTATTACGGAGTAATTAATAAAGAAAGTTCGAGTGAAAATAGCTAAAATAGTATTCAACAAATTCATCCAATTCAGTTATAAAATAAATTTCAACCTTACTTATTTTGATTAATACACATCTTAGAGTGTGCGATCAAAAGTCATTACCTAAAAGTTCTCAAAAATGTAAATAACATTAAAAAACTAAATAAATAAAAAACTGGTAGGTACTATACACTGAGAATGAAATTATGATTTTATGATTTTTTTAATTAATCAATATAACTTGTGTTCAAGTCTTTAAATAGAAATTGTGATTTAAAATGTTGAAGCCTTATTTTAAAATCACAAAGCGTTTTTGTTCTTATTTAGGGAATTCTCCCTTAATTTTTTCGACTTACATAGTGTTAGGAATATGCATATTTAATGTGGGGATAATAAGCAACAAACAAATATAATGAACATATCAAATTAATATATACTCCCTCCGTCCCGCTATGATTGTCCCATTTTATCATTTCAGTCCGTCCCACCAAGATTGTCTCATACCTTATTTGGTAAAGTTTGTGTGGTTCTAAATCATTCCTACTTTATTCTTATTTTATCAATTCAATATCAACCACGTAACCTCACTTTTATTAATAACCGTGTCACCTTCTCTTGTCCCAAACTTAGGGGGGCGGAGGTAGTACCATAAAGTCAACATATGAATATGATTTACATGGAGTATAAATACAAATGTATGTCATTAACCTAAAGTACACAAAAAATGTAAATAACATTAAAACCTGAAGTACTACTTCATACTGAGAGTGAAATTATGATTTGTTTTAAATTTTTATAATTAATCCATATAACTTGTGTTCAAATCTTCAAATAAAAATTACGATTTAAAATATAAATTCTTATTGCATTGCAACCATAAAGTCAAGATTCGGATCTTGTTTACATGGAGTATAAATACTTAGATAAGTCCTTAATCTAGAAGTACACTAAAAGATGTTCATAACGTTGAAACATTAAACTTAAAAAGTTAAAGTACTATATCATTCCAATAATTAAATTATGACGCCGTTTAGTTGAATCCGTTGAATTAAGAAAGCTTTGTTCTAAAATTAATTAATAAAAACATGCATCAATCTTCAATAAATGCATCCAATTCCTTATAAAATTAGGTTCAACCTTACTTATCTTGATTAATACACAACTTAGAAGGTGAGAGCAAAAGTCAATTATCCTAACGTACACAAAAAATGTACATTACATAACGTTAAAAAACTAAATAAATAAAAAAACTAAGTACTGCTTCACTCCGAGAATGAAATAATGTTTTTTTTTTTGTTTTTATAATTAATGAATATAAATTAATTATGTTCAAGTCTTCAAATGAAAATTATGATTTAAAATGTTGAAGTCTTATTTTGGAATGCTAGACATTTTACTACATACGGAGTACTGGGTATTTTTTATTAGTTTCTTTTATTTTTAATTTTATTTTATAAATTTTTTTTTTAAGACTTTTAATTTTTTTACAATTTTAATATGAATTAATACTTTTAGGGGTGTTTAGGGTAGAAAGTTAATGTTTAGTCTTATTTGTGAGATTAACTTTCCATTTAGTCCTATTTAAGTCAATTTTATTTTTTAAAAAGTGCACCACCCTTTTTTTCGTTTGGTACTGCTTCACTCCGAGAATGAAATAATGTTTTTTTTTGTTTTTATAATTAATGAATATAACTTATGTTCAAGTCTTCAAATGAAAATTATGATTTAAAATGTTGAAGTCTTATTTTGGAATGCTAGACATTTTAACTCTAATTTCTAGAATTTTCATATTTAATGTGAGGAAAATAAGCAATAGACAATTATAATGAACATATCAAATTAAGATATAACATAATGTCCAGATATGAGTATGATTTACATGGAGTATAAAAACTAAGATAAGTCATTAACCTAAAGTACTCTAGAAATGTGCATAACGTCAAAAAAATTAACAAATAAAAAACTGAAGTACTACTTGAGACCGAGAATGTTTTTTTTTTTTTAATTTTTATAATTAATCAATGAGTAAAGGGTCAGTTTGGTCCTCGAAGTTGCAAAAAAGGCGTCAAATAAGTCCTTATATAGAAGATTTCGTCCGGACGTGCCATTTGAGGTGGCTCCCGGTGGAATTTTGTGATAAATTTTTTTGAGCATCTTATTCATTAAGTCTAGTTTACTCATACCAAATTTCAGCTAAAAATTTAATTGGGAAGACATTCAAATGAATTCTTGAAGATAACAGCACTTTTAACGGCACAGTTATCTTCAATAATTCATTTGAATGTCTTCCCCATTGAATTTTTATCTGAAATTTAGTATGAGTAAACTAGACTTAATGAATAAGATGCTCAAAAAATTTCATCAAAAATTTCCACCGGGAGCCATCTCAAATGGCACGTCCGGACAGAATCTTCTATATAAGGACTTATTTGACCCCTTTTTTGCAACTTCGAGGACCAAACTGACCCTTATCCCATTAATCAATATAACTTGTGTTGAAATCTTCAAATACAAATTATGATTATAAATTTTGAAGTCTTATTTTGATGAAAAAGTTCATGTCAGCCATAAAGTCAATATATCCATCGTGTTTACATGGATTATAAATACTAAGATAAGTCTAATCTAGAAGTACTCTAAAGAATGTATATAACGTTAAAAAAACTTAAAAAAAAATTAAAGTATTACATCATTCTTAGAATGAAAGCATGACCCCATTTGGTTGAATATGTTGAATTATAAAAGTTTTTTTCCAGATCAATTTATTATTTAATAAAGAATAATTGAGGGAAAACAGCTACAATGGTCATCAATCTTCAACAAATTCATCCAATTTAGTTATAAAAATAATTTCAACATTACTTATTTTAATTAATACAATAACTTAGATTGTGAGATCAATAGTCATTATCCTAAAGTAATAAAAAATGTACATAACGTTAAAAAACTACATAAATAAAAAACTGAAATACCACTTCACACCGAGAATGAAATTACGACTTTCTTTTATAATTAACCATTATAAGTTTTGTTCAAGTCTTCAAACACAAACTAGGATTTAAAATGTTGAAGTCTTATTTTAGAATCGAAAAATATTTACTCTTATTTCGGGGATTTTTCCTTATTTTTTTTTCAAAGTTAGTGTTAAGGAATATGCATATTTAAAATGGCGATAATAGGCAACAAACAAATATAATGAACATATCAAATTAAGATGTAACATAAAATCAACATATGAATATGATTTACATGGAATATAAATAAATATAAGTCATTAACCTAAAGTACTCTAAAAAGGTACATAACGTTAAAAAACTTAATAAATAAAAAAATTGAAGTACTACTTCATACCCAGAATGAAATTATAATTTTTTTAATTTTCATAAATAATGATTATAATTTGACTTAAAAATCTTATGATTTAAATATTTAAATCTTTAAATAAAAATTATGATTTAAAATGTTGAAGTCTTATTTCGATGGAAAAGTTTATGTCAGTCATAAAGTCGAGATATTGATCTTGTTTACATGAAGTATAAATATAAGATAAGTTCTTAATCTAGAAGTACTCTAAAATACTACGTATGTAGATAACATTGAAAAATTAAATATATAAATTTAATGTGCTACATCATTCTAAGAATGATATTATGACCCTGTTTGGTTGAATCTGTTGAGTTTTAAAAGTTTTGTTCTAAAATTAATTCATTAATTAATTGATAAATAAAATTTGAGTGAAAATAACTAAAATAGTCATCGATATTCAACAATTTCATCCAATTCAGTTATAAAATTCATTTCAACCTCAATTATTTTGATTAATACACAACTTACACTACCAGAAAAATGCCAAATTGGCACAACTTTTGGCACGGCATCTTTCAATTTTTTTCCCTGCCTACCAGTTTTGGCACGGCCTTGGCACAAACTCCAAAGTCATGCCACCTGAGGCCTGCCAAATCAAATGGCACGCGTATATATGCCGTGCCAAATGTCGGCACGACGTCTGGCACAAACGAGATACATCCCAAAAAGTTGACGGAATGCCCAAAAAGTTTCTGTCAAAATTTGGCACGGCGAGAATTGTGCCAAACATCGCATTGAAATTTGAATTTTGGGGCAAAAAATAGAAGAGAGGTTTAAATTTTGGCACGGGGACGTCCAGCCAAAGGTATGTCCTCATTTTGAAAACGATTGAATATGGCACGCTGGGGCCGTGCCAAACCTTTCCAGTTATATCGAATTATTTGAATATTGGCACGGAGGTAATGTGCCAAGAATGCCATCTGTGATAAGTAATTTTAAACATGGGCACCAAGAAGCCGTGCCAAATAGAAATTAATTATAAAAAAATTAGCCCATATATAAATATAGATATACATGTATATCTATAAAGATATATGGGCCAATTTTTTTTTTTTGTATCAGAACTATTATTCCAACCAAACACAATCTTCATACACAAGAAAAGTAAGCAACTACAACAATCAAACACCATTCCAACCACACATACTTCATACAAAATAAACAGTAAACATCATTCCAACAAACACATTAAACATGCAAAAAATCAACATTGATATCATCAACATTGAACATAAGTATCCATCAAGATCTCCCCAACAAGTCCATCAAAAAACAACAAAAATAATTAAGTGTTTGGGAAGGAGGCAATAACATTTCAAAGCATCAGGAGGGAGGTGTTAACATTACAGACCATTAAGAGGGACAAAGTCATCACCGAAAAAGTCATCAACATTCAATGCACCTGGCTGAGTCGGGGAGGCACGCTGATTCGGGGCTAGCTGAGTCGTGTCTGGCTGAGCCTGGAAGGGAAACTCGGGTATCACTATGTTGGGGTTGGTAGTTTTTAATTGCTGTAAAATAGCAGAAAAGCAACCCGACATAGCTGCCATTTGTGCATCTTGTTCCTTCTGTTTTTTTTCTTGTTGAAGTATTTTATCATTTTGGGCCTGCAATTTTTGTTGAATTGCTTCAACTTCTTCAGGAGTAGGACCAAGGGGGCCGATCACCGAGGATGAATCCAGCACTGTACTTTTAGCCCGACTGCCATGCCCGAACCGGCGGCTCTTATACTTTGGCGTGGCTTTCAAAAACAAATCATTGTCTTCGATTGCGGATATTTGACTATCCGATTGAGTGGCAGCTTGCTCCTTCAGTTCATTGTACTTGCTCTAAAAAAATTAGAAAAAAGTTAATACATTACATAAAACATTTTATAATTAAAAAAACTACTCACAAGGACTTCTTGAACACGAGGCGGCGGATCACCCGTCTTCGGGACATAGCACTTTTCATAAACTTCAATAGAAAGCGGCTCCCGATTCAACTCCGCGGCCTTGAAAAATATACTAATTAATGACATATTTTAATTAAAAAAAATGCCAATACAACTATGACTATTTTTACCAATTTTTCAGCATGTGCATCCACACAACTTCTACCACCTCTGTACTGAGACTGGATGGCAGCAGGGGTATTCCTATTTTTACTTCCAACAGTACTCTTCTTCTTAAACTCGTCACTGGCCCAATATATTGTCATTGTCAACCAATCATTATCCGCTACCCATTCTGGCTTCACAGCTGGCTTCACATCACTTCCTCTATGTTTCTTTAGCTTCTTACTCAACCAATGGGAGCCTTGGGACTCAAACAGCTCCCTCATCTTTTCGTTGAGCCGAGGATCCCGTCGGTATGAGTTCTAATACAATACACACAAATAAATATTAAAATAAAACCTATTAGATTTTATAGCAAACACAAAAACTTATTAATTCAATTAAATGTAATCAATTACCGTGAACAAAAACCACCATCGATTTCGCTGCTCTTCCGAAGCATTTTGAAACGAATTCCAAGACCCGTGAAAATTTCCCATAATTATCTCCTTAATTCTGGTCAACACAAATTGCTTGCTGCATGTTCATTTTTACATTATACACAGTCATGTTTTCAAAAGACTACTGAGTACATTACAAAACACAACCAATCAGTACAAGGCCCAACTGAAAATGTGTTATTACAATGAAATGCTTCATGGCTTGTTATTTATATTCAAAAGTTGGTCAATATGGGCAGCTGAAATGGGTTGATTAGTCCACAATCTGCTTGCAAATCATAAAAGCACATCTACATACACGTTTTTCTTCTTCACACGTAAACTTACAAGATTTTTGTCCATATACATAAAATATGGTTTGTTAGAACTTCGAACATGTTGGATTGGGATTGAAATCCTCCAACGTATGGTACCTTTGCTATATAGGTTTGTTGGGGATGGGGTACAAAAACATTGTATAATTACTTCGTATTCCTCTCATATTTTCCAAAAGAAAAGGTTATATGAATGTTCTCCTTAAATTTCCTTTAGCAGATGGAAATTCATATTCATTAGAGCTTTTTAATTGTAGAAGAATGAATTTAAATGGAGATGAACAAACACTTCCTGCATGTATTTAAATGGGATTTAACCAAAGGACCTTACACTCAAACTACCTAACTGATTGTTTATCTAGAAAGTTGAAATCTTTGTCCTCAGCATCTACATTCAAATGACCTTTTCTCATATAATCCGTAAATTTTATTATCATTGTTTTGTCTAACTGGTGGTTTAATCATTTGTTTCTACATATTACATATTTAGCCTAAAAATACCCAGTTCAGATTGAATCTGGTTTGCAACAGAAGTGTCAAGACAGTTCTTAATGTTGTGAGCAAAAGCAAAGGTAAATTAAATCTCTTTTATCATTGGATTCCCCCGACAAGAGAATGTACAATTACAGTCAACAATTGGTTTATAGTATGTTTAATAAGATCTGAATTTTCAGAAAATTAATACCCTGTATTTATTTACAATTGGTTCTGAACTTCTGTCTGAATGGACATTATAAAATAAAATGATCAAGTATATTAATAATATTTTGTATCCACCATGTATTAAGGTGTCAAAAAATCCACTACGTATTATATCCCTCCACTATGTATAAATAACAAATAAGGGTAAATAATATCACAGACCCACTAACTACAAAGAAGCTTATAAAATAAAATATTATAATAATAATGATTAACTTATCCACTACGGAGTAGTGGAGTACCTTTTCCTGCCCACAAAACACGTATACCGTAAACAAAAGGATGAAAGCAGGGAGAAGGTTGCAGAAGGTTACAACATGTATAAATAAAAATATAAAATAAATAAATACTAAACCCATATAGTCATATACCGTGAACAAAAGGATAAAGGCATAGAGAAGGTTGAAGAAGAACTTGGTGACTGTGAAAGGGGAAAATGTGGATATAAAGATGTTGAGGCCAAATGACCTTACATTCAATAAAATATTATCAACAATCAACAATTTAAACAAATAGAGGTCCAACCCTTTGAAATTAAAAGACAAATCGTTTAGGTTACTAACCAAAGCATATCCTTGGGTGTAATGAAGGGGTTGTTCGGGTTAGGCACCGCGGCAGTACGTGAATTGGTACCTTCTTCTTCGCCATTACGGGATAAGGAAGCATCGACATTTGTTCTTCTGTTCGGAGAGGTAACGCCTGGAGATGCCCCACGATTGAAAACGCCTTGTGCTGAATGCGAACCGATCGAGGTCCTAGGTGATTCTGCGGGGCGTGACCGGCTGTGCGAGCGTCCACCTCTTCCACGCCCTGTTCCGAGATTGGAATTTCTGCCACCGCTTGCCATACTACACCCAACCAAACCATGAACAAACAAGTTAATACCGAAAAATATAAAATGAGAAGGAAAAAATTTATGTTGCTTCAAGTTTTCTGAGTTCTGTTGCTTCAAGAGAACCGAAAATATATATAGGATGAAAAGAAAAAAACACAGCAAGAAGAGAGAAAGCATGACCTCGTGACAGATTCTGGTTGCCGAGTTCGAAGATGCTGGAGTACGTTGCCGGCGGACAGTAGGTATGCAAGGGAGCAGGGCGGCGTTAGGGTTTTGATCGAGAAAGGATTTGAGCAGAAATGATAAATTGTGTCTAAGGCAGGCTTTTATATCATTCACAATTGGCACGGCCATCTCGTGCCAAAAATCTTAAAATATATGCTTAGCCTAGCTCGTTGGCACGGAATAAACTTACGAACTACAATTCCAGATTCTTCTAACCTCTTGGTACAAACAAGGCACAGAGCTGCCGTGCCAAGTTAAACGGTCACAATTTTTGCACAAGTTCCAAACACTTTTTCAGCGGCTCGTCAGAACTGGCACGCTGACACCATTTGGAACAAACGTGGCGCAGCTTATCCGTGCCAAATGAAAAATGTTGAACTGTCTATTTCAAATAATTTGGTTTTTCCCTGAATATTAAATGACATTTTTTCATAATTATTATATAAATTAAATTTATTTATAAAAATGTATGCTGGAACTTTTTAACTAATAAAAATGTTTAATTTTGTGTACATATCATGAAATTAAAATTCTATAATGCTTATTGTTATTTTGTCTTGTTACTAGGGGTGGGCAAAAATACCGAACCGGCATGGTACCGAACCGGACCGGTATGGTACCGGACCGATTAACGGTGTTTGAAACGGATCTCAATTTTTTTTGTCCCGAACCGGATCGTACCGGTTCCAAACAATGCCATGACGAGTTCTCATAAAATGAGAATCGGTACCGGACCGAACAGGTTAATATTACGTCCTACCTAATCTTTAAAGTTGCAAAATCCAAATTAGTACTACCTCCATCCCAAATTGATTTGCAAATTTGACTTTTCTTGATTAAACAATGTCATTTTATTTGCTTAATTAGGATGGCATTATACCGTCCCGTTTGAAAATGGACCGTACCGAACGGGTTTAGGTCTAAGACCGAACCGAACCGTTTCAATAGTAATGGTACGGGTTTGGATTCGGCCAAATATTGGACCGTGCCCACCCCTACTTATTACTCATTAAATCTATTTTTAGACTATTGTAATTGAAATTTAGAATTATTTGGTCTTAAATTGAGATGATTTAATTTAAATTGGAAAATTGCTTAAGAGTATATAAAAACATTGGACGAAATAATTTAATTTAAATTCATGTTTTTTTAAAAAAGTAATTAAGACGAAATTAAGACGAAATAATTTGCATTATTCAGTACGAAATACAAAACATTATTCAGGAGAAGCAGAATTCAAAATTGAAAAACTGGTACAAATTACATATTGTTCACTCATCTTCTTCTTCTTCAGCATCTGGGTCAGTATTGTCAATGTACTCCTCTTCATCTGTATCTTCCGTCTGAAAGTTCCATTCTTCTTCATCCTGACTTCCTTCGTTGGGGTCATCGTTGCCGTCGTTGGGATCAGGTTCTATTTCTGCTCCAGTAAAATCTTGCAAAATAAGTTCCTCGTCAATAGTTTGTGGAACCGGAGCCAGAAAAAACTCTTGTTGATAAACGTCAATATCGACATTTTTATGTATTGCATGAGGCACGACTTTTCTCGGTCTAATTGTGCAAGCGCAAACCCAAGGAGATATTCTCTGCTTTGTTGACGGATATTCTGCGTAATAAACTTGGGCAGCTTGTTGAGCTAAAATGAATGGCTCGTTTTTCGGATATACTCGCGCATGATTCACATCGAGTAAGTTGTGTATGCCGTCTTTTCTCACCCCCCTCACGGGATCTACCCAAGTGCATCGAAAAAGTACAATCGATAACTCATTTGCACCTGCAAATTTCATCTCTAGTATCTCGTCAACATATCCAAAAAAGTCAGTCTCTGAGTTATCATAACTGCATGTTGGGACACACACTCCACTGTTCATTGTGGGTTTATTGTTTCCATAGGCTCGAGTGTGATATTTGTAACCATTGACAAAATAGACAGACCAACATTTCACCAAAGTTTCGGGCCCCCATGCTAGTGACTCCAAAAAAGGATCCATAGTCCCGGTGGCAGCTTCACTCAGTATCTGGGACAAATGACAAAATTAGCTTGTTTTATAAAATAATCCGACAAATAATGAATTTTATCAAATAGTGTAATGATGCACGTACCGTCTCCTTGAACCATTTTGCAAAGTTAGTGTCGATGTAACGATCAATGTCCTCATTCCCGTAACCGGAACTGGAAAGATGTTCTCTGAAGTCACTTCAATGTAGAATTTTATATATGTATTAGTAAATACTTAATGAACAATAAAGTGATAGTTAATAATAAGTTCACGCACTTGTAATACGGAATAACTTCAGGACAGTTCACCAAAATATAGGTGTGTGCAATTCGGAACTCATCTCCAACAACATGACGATGTCTTCGTCTACCATAACCTTTGCCGGGATAGTTGAAAATCGATACCACTTTTTCATACAATCCCTCATCAATGTCATCATTTCTAGCTGGTCTCTTTCGTCTGGTAATCACATCTCTTTCAAAATAGAAAGAAGAGAACGTTGAAACCTCTTCCGTGAGGTATGCTTGACAGATAGAAGCTCCGACGTGAGCTTTATTTGTCACTTTCTTTTTCAGTTCCCGCAAAAATCTAACAACATTGAAGAAATGTAATTATGTCATAATAATATATGTATAAAAATTGGTGA